AGAAGAAGACTATCGGGTTGTTCACTTGGAAGTGAACTCGTTACTTGTATCAAAGATGTCAAACTAATATGATAAGATTGATAACTAAGTTGAGCACGAAGCTCCTATCTAATTGCAGAAGTGCCAGTCTTATATAGAACCTTCGTTCTCTGTGGTCGCCATGGTCGACACGGTCGACTCGTCGACGATGACGATGTCGCTCGTCACGTGATCCATAGTCCAAGGAAATCCTTGGATCGCTTAGCTAACCTAAACGATCCTCATTTGCTATAAGTCTATGGATGGTGCTTGACCTGTCAGGACGCCGCCTGGTCCTCACTAGTCACGTGTGCACGTGATTCGTGACAATTAGACCCTTAAATAAAGGCTAGATGTAGTAGGCGTTAGGGTAATAGCGGGCCGGGGTAGGAGCGGGGGGTTAGGGGGAATAGGGAGCCTACTACCAAAAGCCTTTATAAAGAGGGTCTAGGTGCTGAGATAATACTAGTAGTAGTCTTGGGTACGGCGCTTGGTGTGGCTAGAGCGTGGCTGTGCGCCTTACACGGAGCTCGGATACCCTTAGCTCACGTCCTACGTCCTATATGCCAGCCTATATCTTGCTAGCTACAGATATCCTAATAGCACAGAGAGAACACTGAAATATAGCCTAAATGCTAAGAATATTTATGTCTGATTTGTGTGTGTTTTAAATGCGATTCTAGCTCGATGCGGGTACGAGAGTGGTGATTTTGGGTGCGGCTCTCGGTTTTGGTGTTCCTACGTGGGTGCCTGGGTGCCTAGTGGATGCAAGGCACGGTCGACCTTCAAAGGTAGCAATTAGAGAGCGATAACTTATAAATTATATAAGTTAACTCCCGCTATAATAATCGTACGTATATTCTGAAAACACAGGATTGTACCGTATTAAGCTAATATATCTATGCCGTAACTATGAAAGTTTTAGAAGCGGTATAGGCTCGATGCGGCCTTGCGAGTTAGATCGTACTTTTGGTGTTCCTATATGTAAGACTTATACGGATAAACAAAGGAACCTCGAACGAACCAATTATTTCCTTTTATGCAAAGCGATCAAAATATGCACGATTTTTCTCGCTTAGAAGTCCTAAATACTATCTTACTAGATATATTGATATAAAATAACTGAGTTTATAGAAGTTTCTATCGGCTTTTGTAGAAGTTATATATAATACTAAATAGAATATTTTATTATAATTTACTAGAAACTACTTTATACGCCTCTAATTAGGAGAAATATATTCCTTGTAGGATATATACTACGGAGGAGAGGAGATGACTTAGTAGGAACATGGAATAAGTTTATATAGTAGTTCTTTTTAGCTAGGTTATATTATATTATTTTTAGAGTACTTTTATATTACTTTTTAAAGAACGGAGGGTAAAAATTAGAGAGCTTAGAGCACGGATTCTAAAAGAAATTCGCCACCATGAAGAGGTCCACTGCCAGAAGCAACCGCTACGATGAGACCTGAAATTGGATCTGCCAGAGGATGTCACATGCAGAAACGCGGCTGTAGAGTTGGTAATCTCGTGATCAGCATAGAGTATCCAGAGACGATTGAGAGATTTGATTGTCTCCGGTACAGGCCTGCCAGTGTATTCGTTAACAAAGCCTACCATTAAGGGCATATTCTCTACTATTGATAACTGAGGGTCTGGTGGTGTGAATTCCAGATCATTCTGGTGGCAATATACCAATGCTACAACAGTGGTGAAGACTGCAATAGTTCCAATAATCGCTTCGTCTAGAGCTTCAGGGTCGTTATGATAAAGTATCTTTCCAGCAAACACCGGCACTGTCGAGGGGCGTGTAGCTGCCCATGCTGAAAGTCCCGCGATTATCATGAGAAAGGATGGTGTCTCTCGTCTAGAACATGTATCAGAGGAGTGGCAGGTTGAGTTGCTAGACTACTCACGGGAACGTTCCAATCGCATCAATTACTGATTTATGAGGGCGAGCTTGCTCTTCGAACGCTCTCTGAAGCATATGCTTTTCGTCAAAAGATGGCAGACGGCCCCAAATAAGTAAATGTATTACTTCTTCATAGTCGTTCTGCTGATACAGTTGTTCGATTGGATACTGTCGATATTGGATCTTTCCACGAGTACCATCCCTGAGAAATGTTAGCAAAGACCGTTAGCAAGTAGATTTTATTCGGTTCACGAACACATGAGTTATCTTCGATTCTACAACAGCGGTATTCTTGAAACTCGGATCAAGAACTGGAATGCCACTGCCATATCGCTGGAGTAATTTTTGTTGGTAATCGGGGGGAGAAATCTTCTGAAAATGGATTGCTTGAACAGCATTATTCACAACCGGAATTTCATAGGACTTTTGGGTCCTACTGTCAAGTATTGTAAGCTTGAATGCCGGTCTCTCTTCATTGCTCACTTGTTCTTGCGGATGATTGATCAGCCAATTGAACCTCAATTCGCTGAAAAAAGAATATATCTCAGTAAGCATGACAAAAAGCAGTAAATAGAGTGAGCCGTATGTTTTTCTAAGTTTGAATTAATCAACAAGTGACATGGGAGTTCAAGGGTTGATAAGAAAGCCTTTCTTTATTCCCAAGACATACTTCCGGGCTTTGCAGACTTGCAAGCTGTAAATGCCGTCTCTCTATCAACCAACCCTTGACAGATACGAAGGAGGAAGATCACAATATATTCTCCAACTATTCATAACATATGATGAGGCTTCCGATTTCAGAAACTTGGTACCCATCACTATAATCGGCATCCTTCCGTGATATCTGCATGTTTGGATCATGGCTCCGATTGTACCCTGCAAGCCTGTTGGTAATAATAAGTACAAGCTCCGGTATCGAAATAGTAGCAACAACCGAGCTGTTGTGTATCAGTCTTTGTCAATTCCAAGCTCCAAAATTGCCAATGGTATATTCCTATTGGTATCGGTAAGCAGTATAAGATCTCTTCCACATTCCGACATCGATCTTCCGACATCAGTCAGTCGCCAAGATAGGAAAGTGTTGGAGAAAATTAAAACCTTTCTCCTGAGGAGCAGCGGTGAAGAGGCGTAGCGTTTGATGTGAATTAAAGCTAGTAAGTCCTCGCTTAATTCTAAGGCAGGTAATACTGGAATTTTCCAGCCCATCGGTAAGCGATACTGGCCTAGCCTTGTAGTACGGCAGATGACTGATAGGCCACCAAGTTCTTAGTGAGACCCAACCTTACTGCATATCTACTGCGATGCAACTGGGCATTGTAGCACACATATTGCTGCACCACGGCAAGGAAAGCTGCATTCAAGCCACAAGAATGTACTAAAACCATGTAGCAAAATAACTTTTCTTTGGCAATGATTTGCCATATGTATGTATCCAACCACTCTCACATACAGAGGAAGAGAAATCCAGTATTACCAAGCAGCCGTAAACATTCCCCGGGTGTCAGAAGATTCATGCCGTCACAGCCTTATGATAGTAAAAAATACTCGTCTCTCATCCTCGCCAGTAAAGAATCGTTGCTTCGTCTCCCATTCCGGGCCCTTCTCCAACCGTCCCTTCTCTCTAGCCGCCCTCTCAGCCTCGTCATAATCTATCCGCACCTCCATTTCCATACCTAGCTTGTTTCCTGCGCGAGTCCACATATCACTCATTGTGTCCTTGCTATGCCTGTAAGCAACCTTGTGTTCTCCAGGCTCACATAGAGGAGGTCTCAAAGTGAATTCTGAGGGTTTCACGCTACCAGTTTGCGTACCAATTACCATGGAGCCTGGCTTTTCGCTCAATAGCTTTAGGATGTTCTCACATGCCTTCTCCTGGTCCTCGAGACTCCAGATATGAAGAAACATTGTAGCATGAATGATATCCCAAGTTCCTCTGGTTTTGACCAAGCCGTCATCGATTTCCTCTGAGAATATGTTGCTTGTAATGAAATTCGATGGACCAAAACGATCTGAATCACGGAAAAGCTCGTACGCATCGGCTTCGAAACCAGGTACGAGATCAGCACCGTAAAGTGAATTGATTGGAACACCATTGTGTGCCAACTCTCGAAGATCTTGGCCCAAGCAGGTTCCCAAGTCCAGTAACTTTGGACTCTGTGAAGAAGTATCTTTCAAAGTATGGAGGATATTGTCGTACTCAGGGTGACGTGTGAGTCCAAGTTCCAAAAACCAGAACTCGCCAATACAGGGCCATGGAAATACCGACCAAGCCAACTTGCGCTTCACCAAACAGTTAGCAAAGTTGAATCAATATATGAATCGCCAAACTCACAACTTCATATACATATGGCTCAACTTCATTTGGCGCAAGTCCACTGTATTCCTCAAAGATCTTGCGCATTATCTCGCTGAGTTTGTTATCGACTGAAGCTACGTACCACGGCAAGTTGGTGGATCGAGCTCCGTGGTTGGCGGGCAAGTTGAGAATAGTTTCGGTACTCATTTTTGCGAGTTTGGAGACTCAATCAAATTTCCGATCAGATTCCAAAACAGGAGAAGATGCTTTCGGTCAAAGTTGGTTGTTTGAGGTTGAGCTTGGAAAGAGGAATGATGGGAGGGGGATAAGCGCTTTTATGCCTGGACGGGTGTCTCGGCACCTTGCATGCTGCAATACACCTATACAGTACATTAACTTAGTTTAGTCAGCAGATAGGGGGCAAAATTTGGCAAATGATGCATTCACGCCTTTATTATAAAATACAATCGATTATTATATAACACTTTGCCCTTATTTATTTCATTTACTCGATATCACATCTAGTACAACTAGCTACAATTCCATTATTTATGACATTGTAAGGCATTTTTCAGAGCAGTACAGACGAATTAGCTGAAAATTGTAACTTTGGGGGGGTGTAGCAGCAACATTGTACATCAAAATCTGAGCCGTAGCTGTCTCAAAACTCCAAACTCCCAAAACCTAGTCCTATTAGATTTACCATCGGTAAACTTTCAAACTGCGGCAAAGACTACTGCTAATTTTTTCGTTGCTGGAGGGTCGGTCGTCTCTGGATGCTTAAAACTTATCATCAACAGTTGCCGCATTCTTCCGCTGGAACGTTTCCATTGGCACCTCTTGAGTTTCGTCAAACTGGCGGTAAGGACTGTTGACCTTTACCAGTTCAGAAGAGGAGCCCTCCTTAGCACTCGATCTGCCTTCGGAAGCAGAAACAAAGCCAGAGTTTCCAGGTCTCGAACTATATAACTTGACTTTCTCAATCGACACGTCAACAAGTCTATTGAGAGCTGGGAGGGGTGCCACTATGACGGCAAAGGTGATGTCTATGGCGTTCCATATGTAAACAGGGTAGTATTCGTATGTTGGGTCCTCGAGGTTATCGGCGAGGATAACATTGCATAAAATACTGGCAGGTGTTGACATTCCACCAATGGCAAAGATTGCTGTCAAACGTGCCTTGGTTCGCTTTGCCATCTGCAACCTTAAAACAATGATTATAGGCACGCAAAGTAGGGCAACTTCGGTGATAATATGTAGCGCACGTGTTGAAAGACTGATTGCCCTTCGGTCCAAAGAGACAATTTCGCGTGGATTCGCCAGTGCACCCACATACTGTAGTGAATAATTTGCCCGGACTGGTGATACTTGGAAAGCTTGCAGTGAGACAGTGATTGGAAGTAGGCACAAAAATACAGAGATAAGAATCCAGTGCACAATCATCCATTTCTTGGACGACAGCCCGGTGATTCGTCGATTTGAAAAAGCGATACTGAGTTTTACGAAAAACACCGTAAAGTAGAACATTGGCTGTTGGATTCCGGCAATCTGCATTGGTTTTAGTATAGACCATCTTTCATAGGAACTGCTGTGGAGTTTCATTCGAACCTTTACAAATGAAGCTACCTCTGAATATGTGCAATCGTATAAATGCTTTCCAAGACAACCAGAGGTTGATGAAACAATATCGAGAGCAAGATAAACGATGCATCCCAACTAAATGGCAGTTTATCTCAGCCAATTATTGCTGTTATTAGTAGATCAGAAGGACTTACTGCACCTGGAATAATTATCCAATCGTCAACCCCGAACTGGTAGTAAACCTTCGCACATACAAACGTGCGATGGTAATCACAGCAACAAAAAAGATTGCAACACCTTGGCCCGCTCTGAGAGCGCCTCCGCGATCTTGGAAAACGCCATTCTGTGGGCGAGGAGGTCCAAAAGGAAGTGATTTGTTAGGATTTATCTGAGAAGGTGAGACTATTAAGAGCCCTTTTCTTATCAAGTTGTCGTTCTCATTCAATGGACTTTGACCAAGGAGAGCTGACCCGACCGTCATGATCACTGGGAAATGCTCGTGAGTTGAAAATACTATGGGGATCTAGCCTAGTCAAAAGGCTAAGAGGGATCATCTGATGGCCAATCATACTATTGTTCTTTTAATAGAAATCATAAGGCTGAGGAAATTATAGGCATTCAAGCATTAATGGTATACCGGGGCGTAGTAATAACTCAACACTAATCGCAGCCGAAACTGAGCCGCATGTTGCATCTTACAAAAACAGCAAGGCTATTGCTCATCTGTTGGTTGGAAAGTTGTGGTTGGACAGCGTAAGTCGCGCACATGATGTGCTTCAAACAAAGTAACATGGGGTATGCGCCCACTTGAGTGGTCCGGATAATCATAGTACATTCGTATAATTTTATGGGTAAGTCCTGCAGGAGGTCTTGTCCTACATGAGGTGGAATGTCGGGCATGCACTATCTCTTGAACTGTCCCCCTTGTCAGGCACACCTCCGAAACTCTGAACCTTCTTTTTTCAAATCATATTTATTACCAGTTCGAGCCTTCGGTTAAAGATTGTAATTCTTCAACAAGTGGTCAATATTTCTTTTGCATTTTCCTAATGTAATAAGACAAATCTGGAGACACTTGCATCATTATCGGTCTTACATACTTCAATCGACACAGTCACTACCAAGTTTTCCTCACCTCATGGCAAGTTTTCACGTGAGAATTCTGAAAAGTAAGCTCACGTATCCATTGAAATACCCAAATTAGTAATTGAAGTTGGGAATACATGGGCACAATAGCTAAACAGGATCTCAAAGCGCCATCCCTTAGCCAATAACTCATGATGATGCAGCAGCCAGTCATAGAAAACACAAAGTCGGATGAACAAGAAATTGACAACCCAGATGTTCAACAGGTGATACTTCATATCACTTGTCTTCACCCCGCCGACTAACTTGAGAACATACAGAGTATTGCATGGGATGACGACCCTTCCAATCCGCTGAAATGGCCCAGTGGGAAAAAGTGGTCCAACATTATTCTCATATCAATGCAAGGAATGGTTTCTCCCATAGCATCTACAATTCTTGCTATCGCCGCCCTGGAAATCGCAGAAGACTTTTCTCTCCATGACCATTACACTCTTGCTCTGCCAGTTGGACTGTACGTTTTGGGACTTGGTTTAGGGCCTCTTGTTCTTGCTCCTTGTTCAGAAATATATGGACGGCGAATTGTTTATATCCTACGTTTCTTGTTATTCAGCGTTCTCAATGCCGGTTGTGCCCTTTCTCCAAACATCACCGCACTGTGCATATTGCGCCTTCTGAGTGGAATGATGGGCTCGGCTGGGCCAAGTTTGGGTGCAAGTAGTATTGGGGATATGTTCACTCGTGCGGAACGAGGAAGAGCACAGGCTTTATACGCTTTTGGCCCAACTTGTGGTCCAGTCCTTGGTGGGATTCTTGGTGGTTTTATTGCAGATCGCACTGGTGGCTGGAGGTGGTTGATGTGGGTAATGGCCATTGCCTCCGGCGTGGTCTTTCTATTGTGCGCTCTTTTTTTACAAGAAACTTATGGACCTTATCTTCGATCTCAGAGATGGAGAAATCCCGAAGCGATTGCACAACGAAGGCCATTTTCACCAGAAGCGAGAAAGCTGTTTAAGCGCTCAATTGGATTGCCTATAAGGCTATTGTTTACATCTCCTATATGTACATTTATGAGTATCTATTTGTCCCTGTAAGTGGAGATACAAAACAATTGGACTTTCGAAATGTCCATTAACAAGATGTACTTAGGATTTATGGTATACTCTACCTCCATCTCATTACGATCCTCCTTTTGTTTGGACCTAGTTCTGTTTATAACCTTCACTCCTACCAATGGACTCACGGAACTACGGGTTTGGCTTATCTAGGCGCTGGACTTGGTTCCCTGGTAGGAACAGTGATTTGCGGGAAGTTCATGAATCAATCGTATACCTCAGCACTCCGAAAACAAGAGAGAAAGACTGGCTCCGCTGTACCCACACCGGAACTCCGCCTCCCCTTCATGCAGATAGGTATGTCTGTTGTGCCAATTGGATTAATCATATTTGCTTGGAGCGCAGGAAGAACCCATTGGATTGTTCCACTTCTAGGAGCCTTTATTTTTGGCGCTGAGATGTTTATGGGCTATGTGTGCATTCACACTTACCTCGTTGATTGTTTTGGTGAAATAGCCGCAAGTGCACTTGCAGCTGCCATCGTTACTCGCTGCTTTATTACTTGCGCATTTTGTGTTATGGGTTTTCAGCTTTACAGCAAGCTAGGTTACGCATGGTAAGTCGGGCTTATTTGATGTTAGAAGGAGTTTACTGACTGCGAAACTTTTGAACAGGGGAACAATGCTGCTTGCATTTTTGTGCATTGCTATGATTCCCATTCCGATCTTATTGCAGTTTTATGGCCCGATGCTGAGAGAGAGGCGACCCAAGCACAGTTGGTAGAGGGCAAGTTGGCTTGATAGCTGCATGACTGCCGTGGTAAACTGTTCCGTGTAAGGGTATATACGGTCGAGAGTAGTCGCGAGTAGGAGAGATTGGCAAGACTATTGTCTTGGCCACTTAAAGAGCAGCTTTTCACACGTTCTATGAAAGATAGTCCAACCGCAGAGACCAAAGGCTTACCATAATCTATTGCGCATAAGGATCAAGGACGATCACGGAATTTCTACCGTAACCAGCAGACACTTCCAAGTCACATTGTTGGTACCCCACCATCACACCCTAGCATTTGACTTAGGAACGGCGTACCACATTGGCATTAACTGAAGACATGGATAAACATGATTTTCTGGCAAGGCTATCACTGTTATCTGCTTGAGGTTGCAGGAGTTTCCCCATTCAGAAGCGATAAGCGCTCGCTCGCCAGTAAACGACCCCCTGTCACATCCATCCGATCACACACCTGTACCGAAAGTTGCCCTAGTAATGACAGTTCCGAAAATTTCGCATGCCGTGCGACAGTGGTACCATTTTCCAACAACCTCTTTCGCTGACCGAAAAATCAAGCCTGGGGGCCGTACTTTGACCAAATAAAGTGCCGAATTGCTGCAGTAATCTTCCCCTCGCCAACATCCAACATGTATGCATCCAATGTATCGCATCGATGCCCAAAACGTTACCGATACCAGTCTTAACATGTTGTCATACAGAATCCTACTTGATGCCTAATCTTCGCTGATGAGGAAGAGATCAACTAAAAGCTTCATGGGCCCTTTTACCCCTGCTATGTCGCTGGTGCATATTTTGAAAATACGTGTATTCCAAGGACTTATTATTATACTTATGTAAGCTCCTCCAGCAGAAAAGGTGAATTGAAGCAAGATCCCTAAACCTAAGAGGTACAGCGTTTGAACTCATATCAACTACAAGTAACTGGTCTAGTTTTTTTCTTGAGTGAAAGTAACGAGCACCTACTGATTGATTCTTAGACCTCATCCTATCAAAGCATGTCTCTTCAGGTATGTATAGAATGTTCGCAAGAAACGACACTCATTTGAAAGAAGGGGTCAAAACAGCTGATGCTAAAATAAATTCTCCTAGGCTCATGATCAAGATACTTCTTCGACGGTTGCGATAGAGTCCTATTCGACATCGTCAACTATGTATACAACAATGAAATACGAAGTGAGTATGCTTACAAAAGTGCCCGCATTGCTCTCCTAGACGCACTGGGTTGCGCAATCGAAAGCCTCACCTTGAGCCCCGAATGCCGTGCATTCATAGGACCAACAGTGCCAGGAACCATTGTACCAAACGGATTTCGATTACCCGGGACTGCTTATGAGCTTGATCCTGTGAAAGGAGCTTTTGATCTAGGATCTCTAATACGTTACCTGGACCACAACGATGCTTATCCTGGAGCTGAATGGGGCCACCCATCTGATAACTTGGGAGCATTAATTGTCATCTCAGACTGGCTCAGTCGGCAAATAAAAGACTCGCCAAATGAGAGTAAAAGATATACCATTCTAACCCTCTTGACAGCTCAAATCAAAGCCTATGAGATCCAAGGCGTCCTCCAAATATCGAATGCCTTCAATGAACACGGTCTCGATCACACCATTCTCGTCAAAGTGGCCTCCACAGTTGTGACCTCCTATCTACTGGGTCTCTCGGAAAACCAGGCACTTGCAGCCCTCTCCCAAGCATGGCAAGACGGCCATCCTCTGCGTACCTTTCGGCAATCTCCCAACGCTGGTCCGCGAAAGGGATGGGCGGCAGGCGATGCTTGTATGCGAGCCGTGCATCTTGCGCTGTTAACTCGAGCTGGCCAACCAGGAGCACCAACCGTCCTTACAGCACCGAAATGGGGACTCTGCGACACTCTTTTTGGAGGAAAGGAGTTCAAACTTCCGTGTCCGTATTCCAGATGGGTGATGGAGAGTGTATTTTTCAAATTGATACCAGCCGAAGGCCATGGCATTTCCGCTGTCGAGTGCGCACTCTCACTCGCAATAACCCTGCGAGAACTCGGCCTAGCCCCGGAAAATGACATTGAGACAGTCGTCATTCGTACACAGAAAGCTGCTAAGACCATCATCAATAAAACAGGTCCATTGAAGAATCCTGCTGATCGAGATCATTGCTTACAGTATATGGTTGCTGTCGTCCTTCTCAAAGGTTCCGTGATTGAGACCTCTGATTATATGGATGTTTCCCCATGGGCCTTTAATCCTGAGGTGGAGAGGCTCCGAGAGAGAATGACAGTTGTGGAAGATGAAGGGTTCACGAGGGATTATCATGACCAGAAAGTGAGAAGTGGGGCTTATGGAATCAAAGTTCATTTGAAAAACGGCGACGAACTACCAGAAGTCGTGGTTGAGTTTCCAGTTGGCCACCCAAAAAGGAAGGATACTCTAGACAAGGTCAAGAACAAGTTCAGGCAGAATATTGGGCGTGGTGGATTTTCGAATGAGGCGATCGATGATATCGTGAGGGCGGTGGAAGATGACGATTTGCCAATCAGTTCCTTCAAGGATCTCTTTGGAAAAAAGGCCTATAAAGCAACAAATACCGAGTAGAAAACGTATGCCAGGTTCATGACAAGATCATGATACTCTGCTCAAATGAACTCGTTGTTGTACAGATCTCCCTTCCGGCTCAAGAAGTTCAGAATACATAGCATGAAATCCCCGAGTTAGCATTCATTTTTCTGAAAGGATGTCATATCGGTTCATGGCCACCCTCTCTGAAGTCTAGAGTGACAAGAGATATGAAGCTTGAAATGTTCTCAAGTTGATTCGCGTGTCAATGAAGTGAAAAGTACGTGACACCTAAGTGAAATATAACATAGGTTAGAGAATAAAAGGTCCCCTAGGTCTACGAAATATTTGTAGGTCCGGAACTTAATGGTTTCGCTACCGCAACAAATATATTCATGAGTATGTTTACGAGACTCCAATAGAAATATATACAAAAAGAACGCTGAACTTTGAAAAATATACGCCTAGTTCATTTACTTGTGTTATTATGGACTAATTGTCTTTACTAAGAAGTATAGAGCAAACTCGCTTATTTATCCCTTCCATACGACAAAGGGGCCAGAAAAACTTGCACCCATGATGGAGACAAGTGGATTGAATAACTGGGTCAAATTAAGGCTCAAATGCTTGGAAACGCGGCTGAGTTGGCTAAACGACTTGGTTGTATGGAAGAAATGTGGTCAGAGTGGACACTTTTGCTCCATTTAGAAGTGCACGTTTTTTTTGGCCCCTTTGTCGTATGAAAGCGATAGTGAAAACTCTTCTCACGTACTAAGTATCCTAGGCGTGTAGATCTATTTCATCCAATAGTCCTAGGAATACTTCTAAGTGATGCCTATATAGTGTGCAGTTGGGCTTGTAGCTCTATATTGATTATTGGGTTTAAATTCAAATATATTGCCTTTATCAGCAGGAAGATTTAGAACTAACTTAATTCTAAGTATCTTTATTAACTCCTGTTTTTTGGCCACTCTTATCCCAAGGGAGAAAGAACCTCCGTCTTAACTGAGCATTCGAAAACGATTATCTCATGACACTACGAACTAACTTGTCACAGGCTTCCTAAAGTTGCAATTGTTTAGTAAGCTAGAGGTTCAGTTAAGGATCACGTGGCATTTACAATAAAACATTCAAAAGAAAATGGTAATATTTTATGTCCAAGGATAATATACACGTGTGAAACAAGAGAGTTTTAGCTCTCTTGTTAAATCATATAGCACTTCTGCATCATGAAATCTGAAAATATTATGAAGAGAAATAAATTGAATCAGGTGTCCAGACCTCATTGTGCCTACTCAAGCGAATCTTTAAGACCAAGCTCGCTATTAAATCTTTTATAACATTTAAAAGAAAGATTTAGTTATCTCACAGCTTCCTACTATTTTTCATTTGTAATTGCGTTATGTAAATCGCATATTGCCTTAAAAGACACACTGATAGAGAACTACACACACCCCAATATCCCCCCTCTTCTTCCAAGTACCAACCGAACCGAAGACTTAATGCATAGCAGTACTCCATAAGGCCTAAAACTATTATTACTCCATTCATATATACAATTTGCTGGGATCATGAGTCTACGAGGTTGCTGACTTTAAACTCGTATTTCGCGAATTTCATCGTCTTCTTCAATTATACACCTTCTTTTCGTCTTCAAGCGCGCTACTCACTCACACCTTCTATTTTCGACTGTCATGGACCCAACACGTGGCAAGTAACTTTAATATTGAATACCCCTCCACTGTCAGCGCAAGCCCTCGGCACTAAAACACCATGCTTGCATGTTTTTTATTACTGGTTTCACCTCAGGGCGACGCTAAAAATGTCGATGTGCAACAGAATGTTTGTTTCCTTCACTACTGCAGCCAGGTTTATAAGTGATGCCAAGATATGGCTCTTCCTAGCTGAAATCCCATATTATCAACATTTGCGGGTGAAAGATTGAAGTAGGAGCGCTTTAAACGAGAAAACGTTGCAAAAAATTCTTTTTTTGGGTCTTCTTTTGTTTGTTATGATGTATTAGCATGGATGTCTTTGGTTGAAATTGACTTGTATTTCAGGATCGCTCATTTCACTTCCAGAAGCAACGTATTCTGAATATGTCATCTTTCGTGCAACGTCGGTCGATGTATCTTATTCAGCCAATCGGATTCTTCCCTACAGTAACACTCGTATATCGAGCGTAGGGTTGAAATCGTAGCACAGAAGCACAAAACATTTCTTACAAGTCGCTAGCTCTTGTTCAAGGAACGAACCCAGGGCTCGCCAGCATGTTTCCGAATCCTCGGCATTCTGTGGCCTCTACGCTGCCCATTCTTGTGGATAGAATCGAATGTTGCGGCACATTCCTATCACTTCAACCCAAGCCGAGAGTTTTATTTTCATGATCTGATTTATTTCATAGATAATTCCTCAACAAATGGATGATTTTAGTGTTACCCGGGTTAATAATACTGGCCATTGATATTTTGCCATAACATGACGATTTCCATGTACTTGGTATACTTTTCTTCTGCTCCCTTCTAACAACATTGACCATGCTCCGAGATTTCATAAGGATTCCTTCGAGAGTTTTAATGCCGGGGTTTTCATTGCTTTATCTGTCGTTTCAGTCAAGCACGCAGTTAAGACCAGACAGATCGTATCCTTTCAGCGATCATGTCTACTCAACATATATAAGGTACCACGCTTTAAGTTTACGATGGAGAATTCAACAGGCGAGGTATCGTGGGGCACATCAATATTATTTCTTGCTATGTCAAGCTATGCCCCAATTGAAGATGGACCAATGTCTCACGTCTATAGTGGAAAGTGTCTAACTCAACCGCTACATGAGGAAGAGATAAACTAGACAGGAAAATGCATTCCTACTCCCCGTGCAATTTAACTTGCTGTCGCTTAATTCCCACGTTTTTCCATCCCCCCTCAGTTTTTCCCGCCAGATATGAAAGGGGTCCAGAAGAAACCACAGAATCGTCCTTGATATCATAAGATGATTTGTAGATTAATCATTGGTGTTCCCGTTTTATCAGCCTAGAGACACTAAGACAGCTAGGTTAAATGTGAAAGTTATTAGTATAATGGCTTTCTATAGTATAAAAAAAGTATCAATCTAGTCTCTCACAACTACGGGATAGAGTCATCAGGAGCTGTTGAAGTACAGAATTTGCCAGCGAAGCGCAGGTGTGGGTGACTACTATGGCAATCAAGGAAGAGTACAACATCTTTATGCTGGATTCTCAGAAATAACGTTGAGAAGGAATATAAAGCGAAAGTTGCTAAATTTGCGTTATGACAAGGGATCGTGTCTTATGAGCGAATACCCAGGCAAGATTAAACTCATATTCACAACAGACCTCCTACCCACCCCCTTAGCATCATCTCGCTTATCCCTCGCTAGAGCTTTTCACCCCCCTTTGGACAATCTCATCAACGTAACAATGCCAACATTGTCAACCAACTAGGCCATCGGCCACCTAGTAAGAAACGCAAGATCTTTATCAGGGGTGCCAAGCCAATATCCGCCTACCAAGAACATAACAATAGCGTTTAGCGAGGCCAGTCCTCGCCTAGCAAGAGCGTAACAACCGCACCAGCCAGGCCAACCTCCGCCTACGAAGAACATAACAATAGACCTTAGCGAGGCCAGCGTGCGCCTACCCAGAATACATATTTCTCCCACCCCACAAGACCTATCCTCTCTCCTCCCCAACCAAAAGACAACCACAATAATCACACAAACATGCAGGCGGTTACCAAATCCATCAGAAACGATTCCTCAAACATTCAGAAGTCGCCTTCCCGCTCTCCCTCGCGGACACTTACCCAGATACAGCTCTCGTCTTTGATTTGCGACTGTTCACAGAATGGAGACGATCATGGAGGAAGGCCCCTCGGGTAGCGGCGCTCCATCTACAGCACGTTTAGAGGCATATTCGGATATCGAGGACTTTGATGATTGCGTTATCGTGCCAGATAATGATGAAGAGGATGATGAGGCGACGGGTTCGAACCCTGAAGCTACGACAGCATCAGTAACAACCCCTGCTCACTTGCCAGAGCCCAGCAAAGCGGAGGAATCTGCGGAGGGGCCTGAAGACGTCGAGGTCTTGGACTTCAACGAACATCATTTCTCTGGCGATTCTCTCTCCACATCATCGGGAGAAAACAGACTACACCATTCGCTTATCGTTCGTCCTTCCTCTGCTCCCCCCGCCATCCAAGAAGTCCGATTCTCGATCCGAGGAACTCGAGAGAGAGAAGCCTTCATCGCGCCCTTCCCAATTCCAAACCTCGCTTTTCAAGTCCAGGGAGACGATCAGACTGCCAACACCAACCTCACAGTCCTCGACGAGGCCATCGACGAAAACTACTTCTCTACGCTCCCCCGCAAGCCCACTCCTTCACTACCTCCCTCCCCTTCCTCATCCGCAGCCAATCCAGGTCTCATGCCAGCCGCTATCCAAAAGCGTCTGAAGACTATTCAAGATTATGATGACTACATCGCTAGTATCATCCCCAAGGTCGCTAAGCAGAATGAGGATAACTGGGAGGGTACGTGGTTGCAGGATGCGTATAGGCATTCTTGGAATGGACAGGGTACGTGGAGCTATTGGGATGAGGGGAAGAAGGTGGTTGAGGATGCGAAGACGTTGTTTGGGGGTTTGTGTGGAAAGGGTAGATTTGACTGAAGGGACTTTGGGTATGGATAGGTAGAGTTTCTTGTAGGGAAGCGGATTTGAGTAGAGAAGTTGTTGAGATTGGTGAAGGAAAGGGGGCACGCTGGATGGCGTGTAATGAGAGAAGAACAGATGTAGGCACGTACGTTATTGGTGGTATTATGTGCTAGTATTTCGGTATGGAGGAGGTTGCTGTATTGGATTTTGAGTGGAGCAAAAGGATACTGAGAATCAGGAATGTATGTAGATAGATCAATCAAGCTGTGTCCTATAAACAACGTGTAACTCGCTTGTGACTTTCCGTGAATTGCGAGATAAGATGGATAGTAAATCCTTGAAGTAGGCTCAAGGAAGACAAGTGGTTTGAAGCCAAAAGACAACTAACCACTGTATGACAAGTCAATTGAGTTTTGTTATACAAAATGGGTAACGAAGAATACTAGTAATACACGTGGTTATTACTCTGTAGGTGACACCCCTCTTAAAATAATACTACCCTAAAAGCCTTGTACAACTAAAATAGTAATGTGAGGGGTTTGAATAGCTGTTAACGCTTACTTTCTATTAGCCCAGGTAACCTAAGAAAATTATCTTACTTGTGCTAGAAGTTTAATATACTTACCTTTCATACAGGGTGTGCAGGTGAAGACCAGATATATTATAAAATGACCACAAAACAGAAAGGGACTTATTCAAAAATTCTAAATTTATTTCTTATTCTTCGCTTTAAAAGCCAACCCAAACACCATCAGATGCTCATGAAGCCACGCAAAGAGCCGGTATTAACACTGATCTATGCCTCTATTTCCCACCAATCTAAGCACCAAAAGTCTTAAATCTCTCGCCCTCAATAGTAGAAACAGCCTTCTCCCCAGCCTCACCCTCTTTCTTACCAAACACCAATTGAGCGTTCAATACCCAATCAGCATCAATACCCCATTGTGCAGCAACCTTCTCGTCGATCAATGGGTTGTAGTGTTGGAGGTTGGCACCGAGTCCCTCGGCCTCGAGAGCGGTCCAGATTGTGAATTGGTGCATGCCGTCGGATTGAGTGGCCCATGGTGGGAAACGGTCGGCGTAGAGGGCGTACTTGTTTTGCATTTCTTGGATGGCGGAGCGGGCTTCGAAAAAGAGGACCTGTTGGAGAAGGAATTAACTTATAATGTTTTTTTGGGGGGGAGGGGG